CTTAAGGCTCGATGGAATTTCTGGCTTATTGTGTCAATTTCTATATTGCCAACTGTATGTTATAAGTTCTATTGATTGTGCTGCACGGCAGAACATTAAGACTGCAATATGGTCAAATGGAGATTATAATCAAATCTAAATAAAATATTTTGTTTGGTTTACAACAATGCATTATCATTTCAGTCCCTTTAACTGAAATTAGCAAAAATTACTCCGAATGTGATTTGTTATGATGCTGAACAGCATTTGGGTTCAAATGGAAATCAAATGACTTCAGTGTGATGTTCAAAGCACAGAAGTGATTGTCAGGTAGTAAAAGGCATGTTCATCCCATGAGATATGCGGCAGGTGCCTCAAACATTGAAATGTGACATGGAACGGCCAACACCGTGAGCGGCATCTAACAATTATTCACCTTTGTGGAATCCATTACTGAAAAATAATAATTTTTACTTCCTTAAAAAGATTATTAGTAGTGTGACCCTCTACCTCCCATGTGATTGGAAGAGTGTTAGAAGATGATTGTCTTCACTGTGTCTGTGATGAACCTGATAATAGATGATATTAGAGTACAAATGGGGAGGAGCAGGTGGAAGGAATAATTTTAGGGGGAGGCCTTTTTATAATAAATAACTTTTATTATCGTATTTATTTTAAATTAAAAAAATATATATTTTTAAAATGAGCTGCTTTTTTAAATTTGGATTTGGGTATTTTCTAGGTTTAACATGTAAAACGTGTGTTTAGATTTGGATTAAGATATTTGTTAGTTTTAAAATGAGCCGCTTGTTTAAGTTTGGATATGGATGCGGAATTTTTATTTATGAGGCACATTCTGTGATGTTGATCTAAAACACTTGCAAGGACCAAAAATGGAAAGACAAGATTTGTGCATTAAGCCAAATTGTCTGGTTGGTTGTCTGTAATTTCAAAAAATGTATAACCCAATCCACAAAACCATGGCCCTTCTTGTAAATCCATTGACTTATTTATAAAGAAAATTATTGCTTAAAATATTTTGAAGATTTAATCCATCTTTTTTATACTTTGTCACACTCTCTCGTGAGAAGTTTATGTTAATTATTTATACCTTATTAAAACATTGAACATCACCAGTGCAAGAGATGATGGTGGTTTTAAAGTGGTTAATAAACATACAAGTCTGTGCAGACAGATATTTATCATACATCATATTACCTGCAACATTATTGAGCTGTTCATGTGGATTGTTTTATATATAAATTTCAGGGAAATATAGAAATGCTCAGTGGAGAATTATGGAATACAGAAATTATATTACCAAGGAGGAATTAACGCCTCATTTGTGGAATACATTCTACTTTTCGCTGTTAGGTTGTGCAAAAATGCTATGAGTTGAGTTTCAAACTGAAAGCTGCAACACCGTCACATATTAATACCTTTCTACCTATTAAAAATGATTAAATTACTAATAATCCACAGTAAAGCTTTTAATGTCCATTAAGAACAATGCAATTGTACAGAGGGTTAATGTAGTGCCTTGAATCACAGGGTAATAGCATACCGGTTGCTTAATTCATTTCTCCACATTAAGAGCCATGTCTCAGCCACATTACTGGAGACACTGAGTTGAAGCCCTGTGCTTTCTAAACATAGGGAGCTAAAATCAGAGAATGAGCAACATTATGTTCGCCACCTCTAAGAGCTTAAATACAGGTCTTCATGTTCAGATGAAGAATTAAATGTAAAATGAGTAGAATATAATTGGAAACTTTCTGATGTGTAATTATATATTTTGATGTGTAATTACATTGCTATTCGTGAAACCACAACAGAAATGCACAAAGTAAAGTTTTTACTGCATAATCCATAAATTATTAGTGTGCAATACATTGTTAATTGTACAACTACATTCATCGAACATTTTATTAGCATTGCATTTACAAAGATACTTCTTTAAAATTTTATTTTATAGACTGAACTAAAAGTTGCCCATTAATTGTTTGTGGATTGCTCATTATAATTGTGTAAAAGATTATACTTGGTTAAGTAATATGAACTTAGTTAGTTTCTATCCCATTTAACCTTCGTAATAACTATTATGAAAATAGCACTATGTGTCATACAAAATTACGACGTGTGATGTGTTAAGTAATACTGATCGTTGACAGAAACGATTCATCAATAATGTGTTATCGACTAGGGTGTGGCTTCACTCTGATTTTTCTTGTTGAGTGAAGCCAATCGGCAATCCAATGTGGAGTAGATTCTTACCATTCTGAAAGACTTGGTGGGAATGGGTGGGGGAAGGTGTCTTTCCTCTAACACCCCCAAAGACCAGTCAATAATTTAATACATTGACTGGTCACTTTTTACCTCACGGTTTGATTAAATATGTTGAAATTTTCAACCCCCTTCCCCCATAGTCAGTGAATGTTTTTTAAAACGAACGATTCATGATTATTCTGTTTGTCTGAAATGCTTAATAAAAGAGGGTAGAACAGTAGGGGAAAATTAGAAAGAGCCTTCTTTAGTTGCCTCCCATGGCCTCTTCCATGTGGATAATCAGTGTTTCTAAACAAATACCTTTCTACCTTTATATTACTGCCATCTGATTGCACTATTGCCATTGTTCTCTCATTGCTGCAGCTGCCCAACCTCATCACTGTTTTGTGTTCAACAGCACTGTTAATGGTTCTTTTGCAGAACAATTCTTTTCTGCCAAATGTTAGCTATCAAGAGTTTCATTATTAGTAGATCCTCGCCCTTAAGTGAGAGACCTGGGTTTGATTCCCGGCAGGGCGAAACCTCGGGCAAGTTTCCTCACTCCACACACCTGATAATAATCCTTCAAGAAAAAAAGCCAATAATAAAATTGGTCACTTCCATCCACAACTGTTTGTGGGACACTGCTGTGAGTAATTGGCCGCCGCGTTTCGCCCACAAATATACAGTCAATTCACTTTACAGTATATTCTGTGAAGCGCTTTGAGATGTCTAGAAGATGTGATAAGGCACTGTATCAAAAGGATTATTATTATTAATGCTATTATACCAAAATAATAATTTGGGTTAAAAAAACAGGAGCAGGAATTCTATTTGGGTGTAGATTTATTCTATTAATCTAGCATTATCCAGAAATTGTCATATTTTTAAATGCAGCCTTAATTTTGAAACGTGTTCTCTGAAAGTCTTTTGAAGAATTACAGAAAATTGGTTTCAAAGATTAAAACTGGATTCAACAATTTGCCAAATTCTGCATGTTCTGTAATAAATAAAATAAATCTGGATCGTGGTATTATTTCAATTGCAAATTTGATTAAAAAAATAAAATTTGAAAATTATAAAAAACGTCAACAGTGGTATCGTTAGAAGCTTCACTGTCCTGATGTTCTTCCATTTATTACTGAATATTGTTTTGAACAAACATCTTATGTAGCAGAAGGATAACATTGTTTTTAAATATAAATCAACATTTCTGTTGTCCCTTTGAAAAAAAATGCCATTTAACGTCACTGACATCACAGGGTACAAAATCACTGCCAAAGTTCCCACAAAGTTGATTCAGCACATTCCTGCACTCTGACTTTGAACTCAGTGCCAGTAGATCAGCAAAGTGTTAGTGGATTTTGCAATGCTGCCAGTTAGCATTCAAACCACCAGCAGAGATTTTTTTNAGCAAGGTTAAACATGGGACACCCAAGTATTCAGTCCTCACTCTGTCATGAACACTGTTGTTGTTCTGGCTTTAGCTTGAATCCATTTTTCCTGCTGAAACAAACTTTGATGATGACAGAAGGATACGCTGGTAAATATTGCCATCTGCAGAAAACAGACGTATTTCAAGTCCCATTTGGATGGCTCCCTTTTGCAGAAAATCCTTGTTGTCATGTAATTGAACTGGACCAAAATATCAATTGAAAATTGTTTCAATCTGGTGTGATTATGTCAGTTCTTTGCACCTAATCCAAAGGACTTGGTCTTGTTTTACTTCAACTAAAGACAAATAATAATAATAATAATCCTTGCATTTGATATAGAGCTTTTCACGTCTTCTAGACGTCTCAAAGCGCTTCACAGAATATGCTGTAAAGTGAATTGACCGTATCTTTGTGGGCAAAACACAGCAGCCAATTGCGCACAGCAATGTCCCACAAACAGTTGTGGATTGAAAATGACCAATTTATTATTGTTTTGTATTTTGGAGGGATTATTATTAGGCGTGTGGAGTAAGGAAACTTGCCCAAGGTTTCAAGTGCTTTCGAGAGCGAGTGCTCTAACCACTGAGCTACAGGACTCCTGTCTTAACATTTTATCTCAATTGCTGTTTTGTATTTGGTTTGTTGCTCGTGAGAAAAGGACAGCAAGGCTTCGTGTAAGGGCCCAAGCTTCTGTTGAAGGAAAGCAAGGCAAAAATAAAAAGAGCAAATTCCTCAATAGGAGCTGCATCCATTTTTATATGTTGGCATCTATGCTGTGGGCCTACACAGGTGAAAAGCACAGACAAGCTGCAGATAATTCAGGATCTAAGGCACTCAATCAGATCCTTAAGAGTACTATTGATATATCAGTCAATCCTGTCATTGTACATTTGAAGGGAAAATACCAACATAAAACACATCATAAAAGTCCAGCAGATACTACATGTGCTCTGTCAGAAATTGATCCTGTTGGTTAACATGACAGAGTTAAGCTTTCATAGCAGGTTGTCACTGACTTGTCTGAGATTACAGAAATATGTTTGTCTATCTTAAAGATAACCAATGCTTAACCCTTTTCTGGTCAATATGGGACCACGACAGCTGAAAACATTAGGACTGCACGTAATATGGCTGAAACTAAAAGGCACTATTAAAAAATAATAACCTCAGGTGCTAAAATCTTTTTATTCTGGGAGTATATTTCTGACCGCTAATAATTTAAAGATTTAGAATTTACTGTTATGGCTCGGTGCATATTTTTACATTGTTTTTCAATAATTAAACAGCCAACTAATTTGTACAAGTTGTGACTACTAACAGAGAGCAATCACCTCACAGCAATTTATCGACAAGAAGATGCAGTCAATGTCGTGAATAATGGGTTCATACAGAGTCCAAGGTTTCCTCTCAACTATCCAAGGAGCATTTTATTGACCTGGAGATTGCTGTCCCCTGAAAACACAAGGATACAGCTAGTTTTCGATTCTCGCTTTGGCCTGGAGGAACCAGAAAATGACATTTGCAGGTAAGCATAAACCTGGGTAAGTTATCAGACTCATCCATTAAAGCTTCAGTTCTTTATTATAAGTGTTGTGCAGAAAGATTCTAACCTTCAATCACCTTTGACTGTGTCTTAAACAGTACTTTTATTGGTATAAATAGAGTTAAGTTGGCTTGAGGGTTTACATGTACATGAGTGGTACAGGCACAAGGACAAATGCAAAGAGAGAGCGAAGAGCTATAGAATAGGGAATGGACAGGTTACAATCATTAACAGCCAAATGCACATTTTTGTTGCTGTTTAAAGCCATTGCGTCTAACTACAGTATTTTGTACCTAACCAGTGAGGAGACAGAGTGCAACGGGACACAATATTTCATTTCCTCCTCTAGATTAGAACAAGTCAGCACTTGTAACAAGATTCCTGATATTATATAAGACATTGAAACCATCCATTGTTTATTTTTTTATTGTACAGTCTTCTTTTCTTCTTCCTCCAGTCATGCCAGGAGTCTATCAGTTTGACTTGCCAATGTAAGGGAGCAGGATTTTCTTGAAAAGCAGCAAATTAATATGAACAATTCAGAGATTAAAAATGTATAAAAGTAATAGATATGTCCTGATCTTACCTACATAAATCCCAAATACAGTACAATAAAGTGCCTGTATTAGCTTGATTCTTGCTTGATTCTTTTGCTTTTAGTTGTTGGAGTAATACTGTAAACATGATTAGTATAATCATATACCAGGAAGTTAACACAAGTAGCCGTCACACAAGCAGACAGGTTTCCGCCATATTGCCCGCCCCCGTCCGTACCTCGTTTTCAAATCACTGAATTCACTCACACCTCCCTACCTACCCGACTTGCTTACACCCCCACTCCACCTCCATTCGCCTGTTTGTCCCTCGTGCCCTCCGTTCCACCATTGGTGGCTGTGCCTTCAGCCACTGTGACGTGCTCCAGGACGCTATCCCTGTGAAGGGTGCTATATAAATGCAAGTTGTTGTTGTTGTTCCTAAACAGTTAAGTAGATGTTTCCCATTTAATCTTACTCAGTTCCCAAAGGACACAAATCCAAGATGTAAAGCTTTGCAGGATTTAACACTAAATGGATAATTACTTTCAAAGAGCTGAGTGTGAGAGTTGCAGCTGCTCAACATGTGACACATGGATAAACTGCAATTTGTGGGCAGTGAAAAGGGCACTATGACCTCCATCTAACCCATGTTACACCAGACCCGGGCATGCCTGATATTGAGTGCACGCAATAAAATATTAAAATCCCCTGTAATGGTAGCCTTTCAACTCACCTCAAGTAGCTCCCAAATAATATTCTGGTAAATTTAAGCAGAAGCTCCCTTACATAGTCAAGTCACCCGGCTGGACCCCAGGCATAAGGTAGCAGAGTCTAAATTATGGGATTCACAGAATGATTTATAAATAGAGAATTCTGGATGTGCTACAGCTGACTGTCTGCCCTTCTGCTCCAATGCTGATTTCAGTTCTGACTTCTGTGAAGTCAGCATCTGAACAATGTCCCACCAGGTCAACTGTGACACCCCCAGGGTTTATAAATCCTTTTGCAATTCCGCAATATAATTATTAGATTTTTCTACAAAATATACAGTATACCCTGTAATGTGTTTTGAGACATTCTCCTGATGTGAAAAGTGTTATGTCAACTGTAAGGATTATTAGTATTATGAAATTCCAATGGTAGATTTCCAGCTATGTTTCAATATTTGTTCCTGGTGGTCTTGTATATCACTGTTTTGGTACTTTCGTAGGCCAATTTTTATGCTAGTTTTTCTTAGCAAGACAAATATTAAAAATGCTTTATAATAAATAACAAAAATAATGTGTGCATTTATACAGTTCAGAATCCTCGCCCACACCTTCAAGGCCCTCCACGGCCTTTCCCCTTCCTACCTCCGTGACCTGCTTAGCCCTTATTAAGCTGTCCACTCTCTCCGCTAAGCAGGCTCCAGTCCGCCCGACCTTCAGCAGTTGGGTCTTCAGCCTCTCATTCCCCACTCTCTGGAACCCCATCCCACATTCCCTTCACCTCGCTCCATCCCTTGCCTCCTTCAAGTCACATCTCAAGACCCTCCTCTTCCACCATGCCTTCAGCCACCCTTCTATCCTACTAGCCCTCCACTCTCCCATATCCCAACTCCCCCCTGCTCGGTTTCAAATCCTTGACTGTCCAAATGTAATTTTGTTTTGTATTTGAAATAGCTCCTTTTACATTAGAAGGACGTCTCTAAGCGCTTCGCGGGATTCACTGTAAGTTGTAGTGGCAATGTATATTGTAGGCAATGACTGCAGCTAATTTGCACGTATCAGTGTCCCACAAACAGTCATGAAGTGAATGATCAATTTTTTGTCTGTGGGATTGTTGACCATATCGCCGAGAGAAACTCCCTTCTCTTTTCAAGCAGTATCACAAGATCTTAAACAACCACCTGAACAGCCCTTGGTTTCACATTTCATTCATGTAATTTTTAATAATAATAATAATATCATTTTTGTCATGATATGTCATGCACAAATAAAAATATTGCCATGATCTATGATATGTTTTCAAAGAAACAAATATCCATGCTTGTCAATAATTTTTTCAAGGAGGCACTTCCCCTTTAGATGAGCATACTTGAACATGCAGAGTATCAGAAACCACAATAATATCCATCATATTATTCACAGTGAGAAAAACACAGGAGGCTATTTGTCTCTAACTTTCTTGTATGTGCACAATTATGCCCCTGACAGTGTTTGTGACATTGAAAGGTGAAAATGGGGCCTCATTATTTCTGTTTTCTCCTAAGGCAAATTAATAACAATTTGAAATGTCTCTTAGTGACTGCTCGTTAATGCTTAAGTAGATTCGGTTACCAATTAGCAGCACAAAATAAGCCAAACAGCTGCTTTGTGCCTGTACTCAGAGAGGAACCTATAGATCGACTGCCTTTCCAGTACAGAGGTAGAATTTCTAGGACTGGACAAATGATAGTAATTTCAAATAAGGAGATAAAGGGCAAACTGAGGGCACCTTAGCAGACAAGACACCAGGCTCAAATAGATCTCACACAAGGGGACTTAAGGAAGTGGTTAATGAAAGGGTTCATATCCTGGTGGGTATCCATCTCTAGAGAGTCATTGGAGTGATGCCTGACGATCGAGGAGGACAAATGTAACACTAATTTAATGTGGATAAATGAGAAGTGGAATAATCATTGATAATAAAGTAAACAATATTAAACTGTAGTTGAATCTGGCATTGCTGATGGGTAGCTCGCTGATACCATAATTTAAAAGATGCTCCTTAAATATGGAATAGAATGCATTTAGGAATACCATTATATTCCCATTATTTTAACAGAAATGCATAATTGACATAGCACTATTACACATCTGATCAGGTGTTTCTCACAACACCCACAATCAAGAGACTTTACTGCCTAATTATATTATATTCTGTTTCAATTTCACAATCCAGTTTAATGTTTGAAAATTGGCTTTTCAAGTACACACAAAGTCCAGCTTTCATTTGAACTTAGATATAATGTAGTATTAAACATTTTTATCCAAGGATATGTTTGTTTCAGTGAGGACGTCACAAAGCATTGAACAGTCAGGTGTCGGAGCATGGGAGAGGGGTGGTGTAGGGGTGAGGGAAGGCGGAGAGGTGGGAGGGAGACCAAAGGCACGGTCGAAGAGAAGGGTCTTGAGACCGGCCTTGAAGGAGGCAAGACTAGGAAGTGAGGCGAAGGGACCATGGGATGGAGTTCCAGAGTGTGGGGGCAGAGAGGCTGAAAGCCCAGCCACCGATGGTAGGGTGGGTCGGGCGGGAGACATGGAGCAGGTCGGAACCCGATGAACGGAGGAAGCGGGCAGGTGGGTAGGGAGTCAGCAGGTCAAAGAGGTAGATGGGGGCAAGGCCATGGATGGCCTTAAAGGTGAGGACGAGGATCTTGAACTCAATCCTCTGGGGGATGGGGAGCCAGTGGAATCGGGCGAGGGTGGGAGTGATAGGGTCACGGAGCCTGGTGCGTGAGAGTACATGGGCTGCAGAGTTTTGGATGATCTGCAACTTGTGAAGCGAAGAGTTGGGAAGGCCGATGAGGAGGGAGTTCCCGTAGTCAAGCCTTGAGGTGACAAATGCATAGGTGAGGGTTTCGGCAGCCTGAGGTGTGAGGCAGTGGCAGAGTCTGGCAATATTGTGGAGGTGGTGGTAGGCAGTGACGGTCATGGCGCGGTTGTGGGGGAGAAAGGACAGTTCAGGGTCAAACAAGATACCCAGGTTCCTGACTGGCTTAGTGAGGTTGAGGTTGCAGCCATGGAGGCTGATGCTGTCAGCGCCTGAGGTGCGGAGGCACTGGCGCGAGACAATCAGGAGGGCCTCAGTCTTGCTGACGTTGCGTTGGAGAAAGTTGGCCCTCGTCCAGGACTTGATGTTGGACAGGCAGTCGGTCAGGGCACCAGTAGTCCTGGAGTTCAGGGTGGAAGCAGAGAGGTAGAGTTGGGTGTCATCCGCATATATGTGGAAATTTACCCCATGTCTGCGGATGACGTCACCAAGGGGAGCATGTAGAGGGTGAAGAGGAGGGGACCGAGGACAGAGCCCTGAGGAAAACCGCATGAGACAGTGCGGGGGGGTTGAGGAGAAACCGTTTGCCGCGACGTAGTGGAGGCGGTATGAAAGGTAGGACCTGAACCAGTCAAGGACAGAACCTTGAAGGTTGAGGTGGAAGGAGTGGTGGTGGAGGAGGATTGAGTGGTCTACGGTGTCAAAGGCTTCTGAATCCATGTTGACTACTCCACTCAGCATAATTAGATCGAGAATGATGTAGTGTTCGTCAGACGGGGAATTTTCTCATAGTCCTGGCCAACATTCCAATGTAGTCCTGGGGAAGTGCTGTATTGTTGGACGTGCCATTCTTCATTTGAGATATTAATGAGAATCATTTGGAGTGTTTGTTGAGATAGACGTTAAAAATCAATTGACATTATTTGAAAAAAGGAAGCAGTTTTCTTGGTGTCCTGGGCAACAAGGCGCAACAACAAAATCATAGTTAAGTAATATATAAATTCATACAACTATTCCGGAGTATAGCAGTGCCATTCTGAGTGGAGCTTTTAGTGTTAAGCACATTGTACTGTGCTTTCAATGATAGCCACCTGCATGTAATATTAATGATTACAGCTCTCCTGCTAAGCTTCAGTCGCTGCCTTATCAGGAGCTGACATCATCAACCTGCACGAAAGCTCATTCCACCTCATGGAGCTAGTGCAGCATGTCAGTGCAGACAACTATCCTTCAAACCCTTCATTCAGGCTCTCACTCTGCATTCCATCATCTCTGCAACATCGCCTGACTCCAACATTATCTCTCCCCTGATGATATCCTCACCCGCCCCTTCATTGTGTCCAGGCTTGATTATTCCGATCCCTTCCGACTTGCCATCTGCTCCCTATACAGGCTGCAGACCGTCCTGAACTTTGCAGCCCTTATCCTCTCCTGCATCGGTTCTGTGAGCCTATCACCTACAGCCAGGAGTCCCTTCACTTTGCACTTTTTGACTGTGCTTTTGGCCAGGTTCCTCATGCCCCTCCTCAGCTCTCCTCCTCCCCCTAGGCCGAGCTCCCAGGCAGGCGTATGTCGAGCCTTGAGACCTCTTCCTGCGTGGAAGACATCAATGTAAATTGTTGCCATTGTAGTATTCTACAGTTCTCGAATTCAGAGCATAACATAACATGTATCAAGCCTAGATACTTGTAGAGGCATACAACATAGAATCAAATTAATTTGCTCTATTTGCAGCAAACTTATAAAGAATTCTGATTGTTCATCTATTATTCTGTGTCTCAAAATGGTGACATCATCAACATTATATCATCAACCTCATGCATCAGGTTTTCACCCCAGCTTTCTCCCCTTCTCTACTCTACTGAAAATGGTGACATAAACTGTATTAGGATATAGCTGAGTTTTTCCCCCAACTTCACTGGTTCAAGGCATATTGTGATCAATTATAGCTTCCATTCTGCCCTCCACACCTCCCTGACTCAGATCAGCTAAATTATCAAACCTATGAACATTCTGCTCTGTATAGTGTTTCACCCACAAAATATACAGTCAATTCACTTTGTAGTATATTCAGTGAAGCACTTTGATGCGTTTCAACGATGTGATAAGGCATTATATCAAATGCAAGGATTTTTATTATTACAATACAATACAAAATTACATTTGATTAGCACCTTTCATGTTGCAGTACCCCAGGACATGATGAATGCAACTGCATTTAAATGATTTAAAATCATTTTCCATCCTCGACAATCTGAAATCTTGTAAAACAAACCTATTATTTGCAATTGCTCATGTATTACAAATAAATTGATTGAAAGGCACTTTAACCCAGGGTATTCTCAATATCATTTCAATCTAATGTTATCCCTTTATTCCACATCACAGACTTGCTCGCTGAGAGCTAAGTTTATGTTTTCTTTTAATTGAATGTTTTGGTACAACATTATGTAATGAATATTTGAAAGTGCTGTGATAAACTATAAAAATAATCAGCAATATTTTATTTTTCCTCAAAGGAAATCTTGGCTCACTCCAATAAGCCTTATTTCCCTGTTTAACAAACAGTTGTGAGTATAGTTTGGCTGCCCTTTGAAACGTGTTCATTAACTTGTCTGCAGCTGCTAATAAGTACAATTTCCTGCTGCTGGTCCCTGCCAAAACATAGCATAAGAAGGAACCAGAGAATATCAGTACTTTAAGAATTAATATGGAGTTTGCCTGTAAATTAGTGAAACTACAGTAAATGACAATAACCATGACACAGGTCATCCTTAATGTAGCCTATTATCATAATTTAGAAAATAAACCGTACAATTAAAGAGGTAGCAAGTACAGGAAGAGTTGCTTTCCCTTTACGGAAAGCGCTCTGAGATGCTGCCCTGCGTGGAGGACACTATATAAGATCAAGTTGTTGTTATTGTTGCAAACTGTTGATTTTATTGAAGTGTCTGACTGACCAGGGAAACTGAAGTTGTATAAGGTATATGTTCGGAAGCTGAGAACTTTAATCTCACAGATAATATTAAAAAAGATTGAAATGGACAAATGATTTCTGATATGAAATAAGACATTTGGCCTAGCACACCTTTGCTAATATGAATTGATCTCATTTTAAGTAATTTATATTACTATATTGCTATATACATTATAGTTATATTTTACACATTTGCTCACTTTACAGGAATTCCTTGTGATATGCCTTATTTCAACATCATAGACACAATACAAAATGCAAGAAATTTTATATAATATTTCTTACATTTGATATAGTATATTTTCACTCTGCATTAACTGAATTTCATAAGAACTGGTTCTGCTTCTGTCTTGCTTTCAACAATATCTATCAATCTACTAAATAGATTTTATAATTTGCTCTCCTTTTTATCTCTAATCTATTAAATATTTTCTATGTTGAAATGGTTTCAAAGTTGTTTGTCAGCATTGATTCATAAAGTCAGTACTGGATACTTTGAATGTTTTAAGGAGCCATACCTAATTGTCTTCAGGGTTATTTATGTAGGCACACTCTTGCCTCTGAGTCAGAAAGTTGTGGGTTCAAGTCATGCATTTGGAGGTTTAATTCACTCTCTAGACTGCTGACACGCCAATGCAGTGCTGGTAGAATGCTGCATTGTTGGAGATGCCATCCATCTTTCAGAGGAGACATTAAACCAAGGTCTTGACTGACTCTTCAGGTAGATGTTAAAGATCCCATATCATTGTTCGAAATATTTGTCATAAAATTGATCATTCACTTCAAGGCAAATAGCTGACATGTTTGCCTACAATATACGCAGTCTCTTTACTTTTATTGTAAAATTTGGGGAGCAATTTGAGATATTATCCTGAAGAGCAAGGCACCATATCAAATGCAAAGATTATAATTAACCCTTGTTTAGTTTTCCCTAATCGCTTATACAATAGCTGGAGGGTAGAGATGAGCTTGGTGCTATTTCCATAGATGCTGCAAGTCAGAAGGTATGCTTGTGTATTGAAATCTAGCTGCTGAATTGAATGGGGGAAGTAACTCTTTGTGGTTGGTGTCTTCTTTTAGGTATGACTTTGTAGAGGTGGAAGATGTCTCTGAAACAAACCGTGTTATTCGTGGAAGGTGGTGTGGAAACAAAGAAGTTCCCCCAAGACTTACATCAAAAAGCAATAGGCTGAGGATAACCTTTAAATCAGATGAATATTTTGTGGCCAAACCTGGTTTCCGCATTTATTACTCCCCAGTGGAAGTGGTAAGTAACATCGATTAGTTTATTTATTGATAGGGATCACACGGAAAGATTTACTTTATTTATAAAGCATTTCAGAAAGTCCAGAATTTGGCAAATTGTTAAATACAGCCTTAATTTTTAAGGCAGTTTTCTGTCGGTTTATCTTAAAAACTACAGAAACACGACTTCCCCAAGTTAATACTGGACTCAACAATTTGCCAAATTCCGGACATGCTAAAATGGTATATAAATAGGGTAAATCTAGACCCCAGTGGGATTAGATAATAATTACCGACTCCATGTTCCAACTCAGCTCCTGCTCCTGACATTGCTGACGCTGGGAGAAACAAGAGGAGCAGGAGCTGAGTTGGTTTGGCACCAGTACTGAATCATTGAACTGCTGACTGAGAAGCTGCAAAGTAGTTAAGAAAACATTGTGATGAAATATGATGAATGATGTGCTTGGTAACGGAATTTCAGAACTGAGTTAATCCTCTGTGTCGGTTTTGGTAATCCTGCGTCAGATGAATCCATAGTAATAGTAATTATGATAACAATTCTTGCATTTGATATAGCGCCTTTCATGTCATTGAGACATTTCAAAGTGCTTCACAGTAAAAATAATCCTTGCATTTGATATAGCGCTTTTCACGTCGGGAGGACGTCCCAAAGCGCTTCACAGAACACACTGTGAAGTGGATTGATTGTGTATTTTGTGGGCGAAACGCGGTAGCCAATTGCACACAGAGATGTCCCACAAGCAGTCATGGATTGAGTGACCAATGTTTTTGAGTGATTATTACCCTTGGAAAGTAATAATAATAATTATTAGTAATAATAGGGCACTGCTCATGACAGCCCAGACAGCCTAGCTCGGCGAGACAACTTAGAGAGGCAGATTGGTTACTGGCACCAGGGATTCTTTCCACTCAGCTTCTAATAACCCTGAAAGCCAAAGCCCTAAAGGGTAGGGTTATCCTAGTCGGACAACCAGCGGGAAGCTTGGTAAACAGTTCTCTCAATATGAGTTTTAGCTGCTTAAACTCCAGCAGTACCCCAATGCACACTCAGAGAGATTCTGGAAGTGGCCCCTCAGGCATTCACACATGAGTCTGTTTTAAATCAATGTTTTGTTTCCATTTTTTTCTCGATTCAACATTTTAAATTAAGAAATATTCAGTCAAGAAGATGTATTTTGTTGGCTGACCAAAATGGTTGTCCACCACTGCTCTAAAACATAGAGATGATCTCCCACATGTGTCAGACAGACAGCTGATTAAAAGTAAAGAGTAATAAAGGTTGCAGATTGATTAACAATACAGTAGATACAAAATAATTCTAAAATAGCAGTGTAGTTCAGAAGTCATTAAATGACAAATCCAATAATGAACAAAACTTCTAATAATCCGATTTGGGGATGTATATTTAAACCTCTTTTTGTTATCTTTAAACAGAGAAATTAAATTCAATTAAAGATTACAATAGTAATCTGTTATCAGCCTGATTCAAGTATTGCATTATTGTAAATAATTGAGATTCTGCAAAACACACGCTTTTGGTTGCATAATACGATGCAGTGTATAGGAGCAGTGCTATCCTGTGTATCTACAAGGCAATCAATGTTATTGACAATTTAGTGCAGTGTTATGTATCCAAGCATCATATCCCCACTTTCTGCTTACAAAGAGAATACATTAGGAATAGAGCAATATTGGGACTTTGAATTCACAATTCTAGGGTGGTTCAATCCGCGGGCTGTATCCCGCCTCCCCCCTCCCTCCATTTTGTCTGGCCCACTCTTTCCCTCCTTAACCCTTAATTGTTATGTTTCTCGTAGGGAAGCACAAAAATATTTGCTTATGCGACCCACGTTTGTCAAATAGGGCATCTGGCTCTCGGCAGCCAAAACGTTAGACCACCTGGATTTAGGCTGAAACTCCAGTACGGTGCTAGGGGTGTGCTGCATTGTTAGAAGTGCTGTCTTTCAATTATGACGTTAAACCGAGGTCCCTTCTGCCTTATTCAGACGGATGTAAACGATCCTAAGGCACAATTGGAATAAGTGAAGGGAGTTTCTCCCAGTGTTCTGGCCAATATTTCATGGCTGTTTTGGGACATTGCTGTGTGGACATTGCCACATAAGCTTCTGATGATGTTGTAATTAGCAGAAGTGATAATTCTGACATCAAATATCTAATTTTTCGCACGGAACTATTCAACGAAACTCCTAAAATTTCAGGATTTTCAAGAACATTTTAAAAACGAGCAAAAAATAACTAGTTACAGCTTCACTAAAGCTTTGTAAATAGGGAATTGGAAAGCTCTGTTTTAGAACTGGCTACAGGACCAGTTTTTCTATTTCTGGTGGTAAAAATGCTTAAAACACACAGTCACTATACTTTACAGTAAATCCTATGAAGTGCTTTGAGACATCCTCCCGAAATAAAAGGGACTAAATCAAATGTAAGGAATATTAATATTTTTATTGCTTATCTGGTGAGCTTTGTTGAGGAAGATGTTGTAAAGCTCATTTTACCTCTACAAGGCTTAACGAATATCCTTTTGTTTCAAGCTCCCCTACAACCAACCGAGGAGTTTAAATAATTGACATTTGGCTCAATAACCAACCACATATTTCCATCACATTTTTTACCCCAATGGATTTATTGTTGATAATCACTCCAAATTGATCAGCAAACGACAGTGCTGTGAATGAAATAAAGGGAAATAGTATTACTGCATTCAATCCCAACAAAGATATTTGCCTCAATCCCCCAGTTTCCCAAACGATTATGCAGAACATAGACGAGTGAACGTGCAGAAACCATGCCTTGATAAATGCTAAGTGAACCCATACAGACTTGCCTGAAACGGGTGTTCTCTGATGGTCCAGTGTAAGGACAAGCCATACAATGAGTACTGTACTCCATTTGCAGGAGTGTTGTTGCCAAACACTTCAAGAAAAGGATTTGATATGTCTCTACAGAACAAGTTTCAAAACTTCTCATAATTGTCTAATGAACAAGTGCAAAGGGGCAGGGAATAAAACAATAAATTGTAGCCCCACAGAATATTTTCCAGACATGTGCAGCAAATTACACAACATTTATTCCTTATCAGTGAGGAATGCACTTGATCAAAACAAATGTAACTTTACAATCTAGTAAAAGAAATCTGAAAGAATTGGCAGCCTTAGAAACAATTACTTAAAATGATAAACGTGTTTCACTTTCATAGTAATGCACTGCTTGGCTGAGCTGAGCAAAAACAGTGACTCAACCTGAAATATTTACAATTAGTATTATCTGCTGTCAGCTTATTTATATTTTCACGTGTCAGTTTGTCATTTGCAATAAGCAGTCAAGATGTCAAGAGGTGAAAAGAAAGTGCTGATGCTAAAATAATTGAAATTCTTTATGATAGATGGAAGGTATTCTTGTGACTTTTCACTTGTATATGTGTTGTGTTAACCTGGTTTCTGTCAATTCACATCAAAATGAGGAGGATGGTCTACACTCAGGACTCTGCATTGGTCTTGTGTAAGTTTTTTAGATGCATATTCCGTGATTTTGGTGCAGTGTGCTAAAGACACTGACATGCTTGATTAGCTTTCCTATTTGTGAAAGAACCTAAACCACTCTGCTCCCATCCTCTGGAAGTGAATCCCAGAATTTGTCTCCTCTGAGCTTCTCCCCACTTATAAAACCTGTGGAGTCCTGTAGCTCAGTGGTTAGAGCTCTGGCCTTGCAAGCGAGAGACCTGGGTTTGATTCCGAGCAGGGTGAAATCTTGGACAAGTTTCCTTACTCCACACGCCTGATAATAATCCCTCAAGAGAAAAAAAAAATAATAAATTGGTCACTTCAATCCACAGCTGTTTGTGGACACTGTTGTGCGCAATTGGCTGCCGCGTTTTGCCCACAAATATACAGTCAATTCACTTTACAGTATATTCTGTGAAGCGCTTTGAGATGTCTAGAAGACGTGCATTTGCTTTATCAAATGCAAGGATTATTGTTATTATTATTTTTATTTAAGACTTTTCTTTTTGATTGCGCTCTTTCGTCACCTTTCCCGCACTCCTTCTTTAGCTCTCCCCACACCTAGCTCGGGCGCTTAGTTGACTATGTGAAACGCTTTGAGACATCCTCCTAATGTGAAAGACACATTAATTTATTTATTTATTAATGTAAAATTGTTGATGTCCTAATTTACAATTAGAGGAAATACAATCAGAAGGTTAGAAGAAGTGCGCAATATTTTCTTCCAATTCTATCTTCTGATTATTTGATTATTTCTAATAAGATTCCCTAAATAAGAATTCTCATCGACCTGCAGAAATTCCACTTTTGGGATGGTGGTTCTGTTGCCTGGTTACTGGAAGAAGTCGTCATTTCAGTGTTTTGGATTCTTTGTTAAAGAAATATGTTAAGAAATGCAACAGCAGCCATTTGCATTTACATAGCAGCGTTCATGTAAAAGAATGTCTCAACAACAACAACAAGATTTCATTTATAGAGCGCCTGTCACATTGGGAGGACGTCCCGAGCAGCTGGACAGTTGGGTCGGGACCTGAGCAGGGGGGAAACGGTCAGGGTGAGGGGAGGGAAGGGAGGGAGCGAGGAGGGGGTAGAGAGTCGAGAGGGGAGCTGAAGGCACGGTCAAAGAGAAAGGTCTTGAGACCGGCCTTGAAGGAGGAAAGGGAAGAAGCAAGGCGAAGGCACTGGGGGATAGAGTTCCAGAGCCTAGGGGCTGAGAGGCTGAAGGCCCGGCCACCGTTGGGAGGGCGATTGGGGCGGGGGATGTGGAGCAGACCGGAGCCAGAGGAATGGAGGGTATGGGCAGGTAAGTAGGGGGATCGTAGGTCGGAGAGGTAGGAGGGAGCAAGGCCGTGAATGGCCTTGTAGGTGAGGATGAGAATCTTGAACTCAAGCGCTTGACAAATGCGGTGGACACCAAGCAAGGTAATAAGAGATCTGAAGATGTTGACCAAGGAACAAAGCGTTTTTTCAATTCCGTTGCCCTGCCCTATTCCAATACTCCTTCAAGCTTCTAACTTTCAAACACCTGCCGACTTCCTTCTTGAAACCCACAATGGACTCTGGCTCTACCACCTTACTTGGCCACATCCAACAATTCTCTTTGTGAAAAAAATCCCTCATACTTTTGTACATGTCTATCAAGTTCCCTCTCAACCTTCTCTGTTCCAATGAAAACAGACCCAGTTTCTTCAATCTCTCCATATAACTAGTACCGACTAGTTGGCATAATCTATTTATGTAATTTACATAGATTGTACAGGAAACAGGCCATTCGACACAATTTCCAATTTCCTATAAAGGAATCCTATTAGAATTCAGTGAATACTACAACCCGTTTTCTCCATTTCTCCCCATTTGGTCCTCCATCTGTCGTCAAAGCATCTCTACCCAAGTGGGGAGGTGAAGAAGTTCAAGTCCCAGGCTCTCATGTTGCTACTCTTAAACCAACCACTAGGTGGTGGACAAGAGCAATCTGTGCTCTCCCTCCCTATGGGGAGGTGCTGGTCTTTGCTTGGCATTTCCCCACAATGCCACAACTCAGAAGACAATCCACCCTAGGGATCATTAAAGGCACAAATCCATTTACTGTAGTTCCTTGTGACTTAACCTGCACTGGCAATATTGGTGCCATTTCTTGGCACGTTTATTGGCATGTTCTGAGACCACAAAACATGAGACTACACAAGACGAAATATGGCAACATGTTAGTGTAAACCAGTTTAGAAAACAGAAAGCAGGAAATGCATGGATATTAAGGGGTGAATTTGGTGTGAATTGTACCAGCCAAACCATGTTGTACCCTTTTCATATGTATAATAAATACTTTTACTCTTGAAGCTTCTGAAAAGTGAACATCCAATTCAATGCTGCATGAATACGTGTGTCAGTTTAACAGCAGCTAAATATTATCTATGGAGATGACACTATGCTTTTTATGAGTCTCAATTACAGACACAAACAGTGATATGCATACACATACACACACAGCCAGGCAGTGATATCAAAGCACTCAGTCTTTTCAAGCAGCACAAATAAAAAAAAGGCACCAAAGTGTTCACTATTGAACATTCTAGATCACTAATGTGGGGAGTTTTGACACGGTGTATATATTGAGCCCGTCGGCAAAAGGAGAAAATTAAGTGTCAGCCAGAAAATTGAATCAATCATGTTTTATTAAACGTTTCAAAATGCAGCAAGGAAAGATATCCTTTCTTTGCAATTTGATCTCATTCCAGGTTTGAGTAATATACAATTTCCCTTTGTGCAGCAGAAAGTCACAACGGCTCAAAACCACTGCAACACAAATCACTGCATTCGAGACATTATATCAAAAGACAAACTCAGCACTTGTGCCAACTGTTAGCCTCTCTCATTAGGAAGATGACATTCAATACATTTGGTAGCACATGGAAACTGGAAAGATTTATAAGACAAAAAACGATTTGTGGTTAATAATATGGACATCTACTTCATTTCTGTTTCAGGACGATTTACAGCCCCTACCCTCAGAATCAAATTGGGAAGCTGTCCCAAGTTCAGTGTCGGTGAGTAATTTATAACCCTCATCTCTGGAGGGATGTAATAAGATTAATACTGCAGAAAAACAAACATTTCTTAAAAACCTACCATCGCAGTTAATTCTGCTGCATTGACAATAGGCAACAATCAAAGCATGTGGATTAATTCAATTTATTTGATTCATGCTTTATTTGAGTCAAAACATATTTTTGGGAAAATTGATATTGCAGAAGGTTTAGATCCTGGGTCCTGGTCCAGCCCAGATGCATGGAATTGTTATCTCCTCTGGTAATATCATCTGATTTGCGATATTCCCCAGCAAATTGAGAGGTGTCTATGGTAGGTAGTGTGTGGTGTATAAAGTCGCATGTTTGATGGGCCAAATGGTGTCTTCTTGCTCCAAAAATTTTATGATAGTGCAATAGTTTGATATGTTTTGGTTTTGCCATTCTGCACAGGGGGCATTCTGGCATTCATCAGCAGTCACTGCTTCACCCCAGACTGCAGACACTTTAGATGAGGCTATCGCTGGATTCAATACAATCGAGGAACTCTTGAAGCATTTAGATCCAGAGACTTGGGAAGATGACCTGAATAGTCTCTTTCAAGACACATCCCAGTTTCGGGGGAGAACATTTCATCATGAACGTAGGACCAAAGGTGGGAAGCTAGTCAATTGTACTATATTAGTTGACACAGTTCCTGAGGTGCCTTCAGTGGCTAAACAGATAAATGTACTGCATATTGTAATAATAATAATAATCCTTGCATTTGATATAGCGCTTTCCACGTCTTCTGGATGTCTCAAAGTGCTTCACACAATAGGCTGTAAAGTGAATTAACTGTATATTTGTGGATGAAATGTGGCAGCCAATTGTGCACAGCACAATTGTGGCCTGTGCTGATTTAGCTACACTTTGCAGAGTGGGATGCTATAATATGCATATTTAAGCGAGAGAAAACATCAAAGGTTTGTGCTGCTGGCTGTGTCTAATAACCTTTAGTGGAAAATGTGCATGTAGGGATATTGGGTGTGAACAGGATTGGGTTTGGTTTGACATTCCCATTATTGAATCACCTGTCAACACTTACTATCTGAATTCATGCCAGAAGAGTAGTAAGTTGGGTGAGGTACCATAGGTTTGTTCTGCTTCTATGGATGAAAAACAGTTTAGACACTTAGTGTAATTCTTTGGAATATTCTGCATCTTTTTATCAATTCCAATCAGAATTCAGACAAGGTTAGGGTTCTATATTTAGCTCTGCTCCAGTAAATTGCAGCAAAATTGAAAGACTTGTTATCTATTTATATTTCATGCTTTGCCCTTTAAGGTGGCTATGTATAAATATAAAGTCTATTGAGTTAATCCTGTTCTGCTCTCCTTGTGCTTTATTTAATTTATCTCTTTACCTTTCGAGGTACAAACGGGTCAATTAGACCTCGTTCATTATATCTCCATTATATTCATTTCCAAAGAGAATTCAATGTTTTAGTCTCACTGAAAAAAGCAATGCTGGGGTAGCTTATCAGGGGGATGGTGGGAACCATTCCTCCTTGAAGCAGGCAGATAAACACCAAATGCTGTTCAGAAGAGGAAGTGGCTCAATTTAGCAAAATGCTGTTTGCTGTTTGAGGAAGGTGACTGTGATACAGAGAGAAGAGATATGTAGTAATAATAATAATCTTTGTATTTGATATAGTGCCTTATCACGTCTTCAAGACGTCTCAAAGCGCTTCACAGAATATACTGTAAAGTGAATTGACTGTATATTTTATCGTGAAATACAGCACCAAATTGCGTACAGCAGTGTCCCACAAACAGTCGTGGATTGAGTGACCAAATAATTATAATTAAAAAAAANTTGGGGAGGGTTTATTAACCCTGGAAAGCGATCTGCTTTTTTAAAAAAAATTAAAGTTTAGCATTGGCATCGGAGTAAAATAGAGACCCGCCTGAAAATGCTGAGAAAGACCGGAAATACAACAATGTGTTTAGAATATTAATTCATAAGACTTTTGTTTTAAGTTGTATTGTTTAGTATAAAGTAGGAATTGCATTCATCAGTCTGCTAAAACTAACTCCACGTGCGGGATGGGGAAAAGAAAATTAAGTTGCAGATTTTAGATAAAACCACCAATTGCTAAAATGAGCCAAGTTCTTAATCCTGACAGATTACCAGGGACTGCAGTGATGTTTCGAAATATAATTCCAGCCTTCAACTTTCACCAGAAAAATAAATCAATTTGAAGTTCAGAAATCGTATTGCAATTGCCTTTCTTGGTGAAAGATATTTAAGTCTTTACATTAATATTATTAATATTTAAGTCAGTGGGTTGAGTTCAGGGTTTTCTGTTCCAATTTTATTATCTATTCTCACGTTCATATTATATTAAAAGAATTTATTTGAAACAACAACAACAAAATTACATTTATAGAGCACCTTTCACGTTGGGAGGACGTCCCAAAGTGCTGAAACAGCAACAGCTTGTACTTGCAGTATTTCTTTTTTCACTAGCCAGATACGAGAGAACTTGCTAATGAAGGAATTGGCCTTGAGCCATTTCTTCTCTTTTAACAGCTCATCCAGTTGCTTTTTGAAAATTAGAAAAAAAATCTTGTTGTGTAGCAAATGTTAATCGGTTTATATAACTATTGTAATGTAGTACTCAGTCTAATGGCTAATCGACTCACTTTAAACCTTTGGTCCCGATACCAGTGTCAATTCACTGAGCCACCCTGCGTGTGCCTTGCGTACAAACAAAGGAAAGAAGTATGAAGAACAATGACAAATTACATTCAGATAACAGCTTTCACATCAGGGGGATGTTTCAAAGCATTTAATACAGCTGACTGTCAGCCTAAGGAGCTCATTAAAAAATCCCTTTTGAACTTAAAAATGTTGGGGTCGTTTCATGATATCACTGGCTGCGTTTGTGATCTATTGCAAGTTATAAGGCCCCCGAGTAACCCTGGCAACTAGCATATTAGTGTCATTGGCTGACAGCTACTCTTGACACTAAGCTTACAATGAAAGAGTCATGTCCTACTTTTTGCAAATTTTTCTTAATCTTTTTTCAAGTTTGGATTCCTTGCGGCAGAAATTGAATTGATTTATTGAGGTTGCAGTACATGATATGATTACAAATAATATATATGAATAATATATATGCATACATGTGAAAAGGTTGAATAGAGTATTGGGGATAAGGGATTAGAACATTGGGCTTTTCAGCTAGGTTTAATAATAATAATAATAATAATAATAATAATAATCCTTGCATTTGATATAGCGCTTTTCACGTCGGGAGGACGTCCCAAAGCGCTTCACAGAACACTGTAAAGTGAATTGACTGTACATTTGTGGGCGAACGCGGCAGCCAATTGCGCACAGCAATGTCCCACAAACAGTCGTAGATTGAAAATGACCAATTTGTTATTGGTTTTGGAGGGATTATTATTAGGCGTGTGGAGTAAGGAAACTTGCCCAAGGTTTCGCTCTGCCTGGAATTGAACTCAGGTCTCTCGCTTGCAAAGCGAGTGCTCTAACCACTGAGCTACAGGACTCCACAAGTTTAAGTGACTACCAGAAAAGAGAGTTTTTTACCATTGGCTGCTTAACAACGGTTTTAAGGAGCAAGTTTTACCTGTGTTTCTGCTGCATCTATGCACCCATTTTATAGCACTCCGTTACCCTGAAGTTGTTCTCCCCAGCTGTGGGAGCATTTCCCCTGCTTGAAGTTCTCACAGATGCTGAAACATATGTGACCTGAGTGTATTAACTGGGAGCAATTTGGTATTTTAGTGCTATATTTGGGACAGTGCCTTAAGCCACTTAGTCTTCCCCTTTGGATTGTATGTTGTGGAACAGTTGCTGAAGCACCTTCACACCAAAAGGAAAACAGTCTCCCCTCCTGTTATCTTTTACAGGTTTATTTTAATTTTTAATTTTATATTGTGTTGTACTTGGACCCTTGCCCTCATTCACATATTGACATGATTTTGTATGTGACAGTGTAGCCTGACTGGTTAATTATACTTTTACAAAAAAACAATTTGTGTGCTTACAATAACATTTTGCTCAAAGTCCTTCAGGAATTCTATCATCCTATCATCCTGTCATACTGTCATGGGTTCCCTAATGGGTCATTATTAACATTTATGCTTTCTTTCTTCAAAAAGCCACAATCATACCCAGTTGTCAATGCCAAATGGCCTTTGCATTTCTACAAACTGTAATAACACAGGAAGGAGCCATCCTTTATTGTTTTGATAGTTCAGCGTGCTGTGAAGTGAGGGTGGCACTTACACCAATGGAGCAGAAATTTACGGCAAAAGCTTTAATAAACTCTGGTTAAGTGGCCTCCAGCAAAAGCCATGTCTAATCAGCCTGTGCAAATGTTCTCTAATCTGCTGTTTTCATCTTCATGTATTTATAATGTGATTGTATCAATATTCCTGTACATGGCATTAGTGAGAACCATAGTTGAAGAAGAGGAGTTAATGAGATACAAAGTATCTGGGTTGTCTAGATTGTAAGTGGCAGGTAAGGAATTTCACAGTCTTGATGGGCCTGGGAAAGAATCAGTCAGAGTAGGAAACAGTAAATGATTTTTCATTCCAGTCCAGTGAAGATACGGAGAGTGTTTTCCAAGTCCAATTTCAGAATAAATGGCATTTATCCCAGAACAGGAATTAATTTCTCTTTTCATATTTTTTATACAGCTGACTTGAACAGAATGAACGATGATGTCAAGCGCTACAGCTGCACCCCTCGAAACTACTCAGTTAATCTTCGAGAAGAGCTGAAGCAGACGAACGCTGTCTTCTTCCCTCGGTGCCTTCTGGTTCAGCGCTGCGGGGGCAACTGTGCCTGTGGCACCGAGCATTGGCGGTCCTGCACCTGTATGCCGGCCAAAACGGTTATGAAATATCATGAGGTATTCATAAATCAATGCTAACTCATCCTTGATTCAGAATGCAATATATAACTTGGTGTTCATTTCAGAGAACATGACTGTTCAGGGATGTATGTGACTCTGCATTGGTTTGGGAACAGCACCAATAATAATAAATAATAATAATAATCCTTGCATTTGATATAACGCCTTATCGTGTATTCGAGACGTCTCAAAGCGCTTCATAGAATAGACTATAAAGTGAATTGACTGTATATTTTGTGGACGAAACGTGGCAGCCAATTGCGCACAGCAGTGTCCCACAAACAGTTGTGGATTGAAGGGACCAATTTATTATTATTATTTTTTTGAAGGAATTATTACCCCTGGAAAAGCGATCCGCCAATCAACTAACAACTGGGTATTTACTTATTGCTAGGTAAACAGAGACGTGTGGAGTAAGGAAACTTGCCCAACATTTCGCCCTGAATCTATTTGTAATGTCAGTCCTACACAGTGAAGGGTAATATCCAGTCATTTACCTTATTACTGTAATTCTCTGATAACTGGGTTCATTGCCTATAGCCACAGCTGACTAGCTGTCACTTCCTGCGCACACCAGGAGAAACTTTCTTCTCTTTCTTACATAGTGCCATGAGGTCTTTAATGTTCATCTGAGCAGGCAGATGGTACCTGGGCTAACCTTTCATCTAAAGGTCCGCACTTCCAACAATGCAGTGCACTTGAGTGTCAGTGCAGACTGTGACCTCTGAAAGTTCTGATCTGAGGCTTGAACCCACAATCTTTTGTCTCAGAGGTGAAAGTGTTACCTATCGAGCCAGGCTGACATCTCACACCATTTTTAATGCTAACATCCCTGTGGCTGGGTTCTTCTTCCACATCACAGGCTTTGCTTAAATTCAGAATAAAGGCACTGTAACTCTCATCGATAGCCACAATGCCACAGGCAAAAGATAAATACAGGAGTCCTGTAGCTCAGTGGTTAGAGCACTCTCTTTGCAAGTGAGAGACCTGAGTTCAATTCCAGGCAGAGGGCGAAACCTTGGGCAAGTTTCCTTACTCCACACGCCTAATAATAATCCCTCCAAAACCAAAACCAATAATAAAATGAGTCATTTTCAATCTATGACTGTTTGTGGGACATTGCTGTGCGCAATTGGCTGCCGCGTTCGCCCACAAATATACAGTCAATTCACTTTACAGTGTGTTCTGTGAAGCGCTTTGGGACGTCCTTCCAACGTGAAAAGCGCTATATCAAATGCAAGGATTATTATTATTATTATTATTAAATGTATGACCTGACTTGACAGATGTCAGCATTGAGAACATTGCATATCTAGGTAATTTATTCTCAGTACTTAAGGAACCTCTACATTTAAACTAGAAGTTAGACACTATAATTCCAAGAATGTGATCATTTTGGTGATTAATACAATTTCAGAATAACTCCTATTAACTTTAAAGTTATCGAAAACAGAATCCTTGGCCACAATCTATCGTGTAATGTAGTACTTCAAAAAGGTCATTGGGCTAATCTACTTCAGCTAGTCACAGGCAGAACCACCAAAGGAAGCTGGAAGATAAGGAAGAAGCTTCATTGCTTGCTGGATGACAGTGTAGCATTCAGATAGCATTCGGGACAGAGATAATGCAATTCTGCAGAAATAAATGTGTTTGTGGGGTGGGGGTAGGGCGGGGGAGGAGGAGGACATGTTTTAAAACAGACTTTTGGTGTACTTATAGTCTTAGAAATTTGTTGCACAATTGATTTAAAACCATGTTCTCTGGTCCAAAATGATAAAAATAATAGACACCCTTTGTGGTGTGCAGAGTATACCTTCTTCCTGTCCCCACTTGGAATATGTATCAGTATTGTCTCTCATTCCTGCACTTTAATGTGCTACAAATTTCACTTTGCAGTATATTCTGTGAAGTGCTTTGAGACATCTTGAAGATGTGATAAGGCACTATATCAAATGCAAGGATTATTATTATTATAAATGGAGTTGACATCACTGTCTTGTCTATATGAATAAAGAAGCCCAAATGTATCATTTCGATAAGCAACGACACAAAGCTTTGTTGGAGTTTAGACAAAAGTTCGTTGGAGTTTAGACCTTAAAAATGCTGTGATGGGGAGATGGTAAGGTAGGTATTTTGGAAAGATGAGATCCGGGTCTCCTTCATCCAAACCAATCTTGTGATCTTGTGAATGACTTTCCCAGAGTGGGCAGGCCTGCTCCATCAGTACTTCATTACATGCAGGAAGACAAAATACTGGCCAATGTGGGGGTAGTCCAAATGATCACTAACTTCTGTGTCATCAGGTCATCACCTATGTTACTCCATGCATATTGGACATGCACAACATATTCTAACAAACAACTTGGTGGAAGTCGAACGATAGTTCACTAATACCTGGCATCCTTCACTAATATGTAGAATCCTATAGCTCAGTGGTTAGAACACTCGCCTTGCAAGCGAGAGACTTGGGTTCAATTCCTGGCAGTGCAAAATGTTGGGCACGTTTCTTTACTCCACACGTTTCTTACATAGGTGATGACCTGATGACACAGAAGTTAGTGATCATTTGGACTACCCCCACATTGGCCAGTATTTTGTCTTCCTGCATGTAATGAAGTACTGATGGAGCAGGCCTGCCCACTCTGGGAAAGTCATTCACAAGATCACAAGATTGGTTTGGATGAAGGAGACCCGGATCTCATCTTTCCAAAATACCTACCTTACCATCTCCCCATCACAGCATTTTTAAGGTCTAAACTCCAACGACCTTTTGTCTAAACTCCAACAAAGCTTTGTGTCGTTGCTTATCAAAATGATACATTTGGGCTTCTTTATTCATATAGACAAGACAGTGATGTCAACTCCATTTATAATAATAATAAGTAGGAAACCGATTGTTAGTCAATTGGCGGATCACTTTTCTGGGGATAATAATTCCTTCAAAAAATAAAAAAATTGGTCACCAATCCACGACTGTTTGTGGGACACTGCTTTGCGCAATTGGCTGTCATGTTTCGCCCACAAAATATACGGTAAATATAGGATATTCTGTGAATCGTCTTGAGATGCCTCGAAAACATGATAAGGTGCTATATCAAATGCAAGGATTGTCATTATTATTATCCTGGGGAGTTGTTGGTCTCATGTTAACAGTCAACAGATATAGGGTCCCTCAACCTCACTCCACAGGTCCAGCAAAGCTCAGGGTATGGAGTCAGCACAGGAGTAGCAATATATCCATATTCAGCCAAATGATTCCAATCATGTTGAAGAAAACAATTTGGGTTAATACATCCACAACCATTCCTAACACATATATGAACCAAAGATAAGTAGGTGCTGTTCCTACCATTATGTGGTGAAACTGTTGTCAGGTTGCAGATTTCAGATGGGAATCTGGGAATGTTCATGCTGTAGGAGAGAAGGCTCAGGGGATCTTCAGTGAGATCCTAAAGAGTATAAAACTCTAATGACAAGATCCCAAGATTGGTTCAGGTGAAGAAGGCTTTCAGTTTATCAGAACATCTATCTGAGCATCCCCCATTACAGTATCAAACAATTTTTAAAAAAAAACAAGAGGCTTATTGTCTGATAAATGACTCTTCTTTTCCCTCTAACAAGTAACTTTTCTTTCTCTTGTATTATCATATTTCTTGTCCCTGATTTTATTTCATAAGTTCCACTTTGGGCATTGCTCCTCTGAGTTCCTACCGTGTTTCTTTCAAGCTTCAAACATGCCATTCCACATGCTCCTCCTTCTCACACCATCCTCGATATGCAGCAATGAACAATTTACCCTGAAAGTGCTGAATATATGGAACAGACAATCTGGGAGGTGGTGGAAGCAGATTGAATTCTGCAAATTCAAAAGGGAATTTAGTGAAGAATTTGCGAGCAACCCTCAGCTGTGGAATTTACTACCTCTGTCAGTCTTTCCCTTTTCCTATTATCCTCAGCCTTGTAAAACACATGCTAGCTGTCACGTAACCCACTACGTATTATCCTGCAATATAGGCCTTGGCTCTTTCTTTAAGTCTTTTATTTTTAAAAATCCATGGCATGTCTTGAAATGTCACTGAATCCTAACTGTTGATTGATCCTGAAAGTCAACTCCTCTCATACAGATAAATCGAGATGGATTGTGAAGCTGCATCACATTGCCGGACCTTGCAGGCACCACGAGACACAAATCATGTGACACTGCATTGCAGCATTTAATTATGTTTGTCTTCACTGCACGTTTCCACCTCAAAATCCTGGTTCTTAAGTACATCTTTCCAACCCATTAACTGTTCAAATCCTTGATAAAGCTGTCCTGAACCTGGAAACATTGCTCATAATAGTACTTTCAAATTTATATCATAGCAGGTCTAAAGTAAATCTTTGCACTTATTTATATTCATGAAGTACCGTGAAGTCAAAGAGCAACAATTTACACCATAGTCTGCTTTTTGTACTTCACTTGATAAGGAAGCCAACCATACTTTCTTAAACCTGACTTTTAACATCTGATGGAATAAGTCACTTGGAAGGTCAATTATTCTTGAGCTGTGAAACAGAATAGAAATCGAGCTTTAATTTGTAGTCACACTGCATTCAGTGACTCATCTACAGTGTGTATCAATCAGAACTCCTTTAGCCCTGTTAAACTCAGAGCTTTTTCGCCAGAGTGAATTTGGAAGGGATTCAGCTGAAAGCTGCCTTTGATTTCCTTGTCAGTGTGGAAGTGATTTTGTTCCCTGGAAATACTAGACATCCTCTTTAACCAGATTCAAGATCTCTAATACACTGAGCTTCACATGTGTCACATCAAACTAAGCCATCGTTCTTGATAATAGCTGAGGTATGACACAAGGATTCATAGCTAAGCCAAGCTTTTCTGCATAATGATTGATGAGATGATACTTCACTTGCTGCTTGGGGCTGTCTTGGATGATCAAAGGTGAACCTGGGTGTAGCTGATAATACATTGCTCATTGATTTGCTTTCTTCATTCATTGTATGGAAGAACGGGCACTTTTTGCATTAGCCATTATATGGGTCAAAACTAGAGTACAATTACTTTCTAACTTTGTAGTCAATTCTGAACCTATTACAGGTAATAGATGTATTCAGTGACTCCGTGGCTTTGGAACCTCCTTGTGCTGATGTTGGTCTTGATGCCTTAATGTCTCATTCCCACTGTCAGTAATGTGATTCTCCTGCTTTATGGCAGTGAATTATCGACTCTGAAGGAAGATGAAATTAAACCTTTTATTTGACAATTAGGACCTTGTGTCAGATTCCTAGTAGTTGAAGTAATAAAGTTGGCACACCGAGAAATAGTACATTCCACATCTTCCCTACTCTTTGTGTGAAAACATACTTCCTGACCTCAGTTCTAGTTGTCTTAGTCCTGATTTTAAAACAATGCCTCCTTGTAATGGATCCCTCAAAGGAAGAGTTTTCCACTATCTAATCTATTAATTCCTTTCTTTTTACATGTTCAGATGGACATGACAAATTCCATGACACTTATTTGAAAAGTCAAGGGAATGCCTCCTGACGTCCTGGTCAACAATCTTCCAGAATAATTGGTCGTTTGTGGGACCTTGTTGGAAAAAATGGCTCTTGCAGAAAATAGTCACTACACATCACAGTAATTACTTGTAATGTGCTAGGAAGTGTTTCAATCTAATGCTATACTATCAAACTGCAAGGTCTTTCTTCTGTGCTCTTTTTTTCCAAGTTAAAAAGAATTACACCCCATTGGGTTTCTGAATAACATTCACAGCCACAATATTATGTGGTTGTAAATGTTATGATGAACCTTTATAAAACACTGGTTAGGCCTCAGCTAGAGTATTGTGTCCACTTCTGGGCCCCACACTTTAGGAAGGATATCAAGACATTAGAGAGGGTGCAAAGGAGATTCACCAGGAAGGTACCAGGAATGAGTCCTGGAGTCCTGTAGCTCAGTGGTTAGAGCACTCGCTTTGCAAGTGAGAGACCTGAGTTCAATTCCAGGCATGGCAAAACCTTGGGCAAGTTTCCTTACTCCACACGCCTAATAATAATCCCTCCAAAAAAACAAAAACAATAATTAAATTGGTCATTTTCAATCTACGACTGTTTGTGGGACATTGCTGTGCGCAATTGGCTGCCGCGTTCGCCCACAAATATACAGTCAATTCACTTTACAGTGTGTTCTGTGAAGCGCTTTGGGACGTCCTCCTGACGTGAAAAGCGCTATATCAAATGCAAGGATTATTATTATTATTATAATGAGGGACTTCAGTTATCGGGAGAGGTTAGAGAAGCTAGGATTATTCTCCTTGGAGCAGAGAAGGTTAAGAGGAAACTTAATAGAAGTTTTCAAAATTATGAGGGGATTTAATAGGGTGAAGAATGAGAAACTATTTCCAGTGGCGGGTGGGTCGGTAACCCGAGGACAACCATTTAAATTGGTTGTCAAAAGAAACAGAGGGGAGGTGAGGAGAATTTTTTTCACATAGCGAGTTGTTCGGATCTGGAATGCATTGCTTGAAAGGGTGGTGGAAGCCGATTCGATAACAATATTTAAGAGAGAAGTAGATAATTACTTGGGGAGGACAAGTTTGCAGGTCTATGGGGAGAGAGTGGGCGAGTGGGATTGATTTGGGCAGCTCTTTTCAAAGAGCCGGCACAGACATGATGAGTCAAATGGCCTCCTTCTGTGCTGTATAATTCTATGGTTCTTTGATTCTCTTCCCAAAATACCGCCACTAACTGTACAAGCCAATTATGAAAAAGATTTTACAACACCATTCAAAAGAGACATTTATTCTAGCAATATGTTGTTTTGTGTGGGAATGTGTTTGCCAATGCCTGTCATTGTGGTTATCAGCAATTGGTATATTCTAGTCGTGCATCCAACCAATAAAACTTTGAGGAAAATACAAAGTTGTTCAGATGGGTCGGTTTAATTGATTGTCCAAAGTAATACTATCAAAATCCACTTGAGTGTCCAGTAGTCCTGTGAGAATTGTAGTTTGACCAATTATTAAAAACAATAAATAAGGAAGAGGTCTGATCACTATGACTTCACTATGATTAGTCACTATCACTAGTGACCATTTCACGATGTTGAAGCTGTAATAGTCATTAACACTCCTATTTAAACCTGTATCCAATATCTAACGTCAGAGGAAAGACATTTTGGAGGTAATATAGCAGCGGCAGAACTGAAAGATTTGATAAGAAAGCAAATACGTAAACCCCAGCAAAGCATATTGAATTCCAGAAAAAAAAGCTCTGCAAAAGCTACAAAGTTTCTGATCAAGATTTATTTGCAGTAAATATTTGTGTGCTTCATCTGGGAGCCAACATATTCATGTTGGTTTCAGTTATCCCATCTGCCACCTGTGCATTAGTGATTCATGAAAGCCAGTGGTTTTCAGTGTTTACCAATTTATGTTGCCATTCACTCCCTCCTGGCAGTGCCAAAACACAAGCAGTAGCTTGAGAATGTCCCAAAAGGATACAAGAGTCACAGTGCACATGGTCTGAAAATAATAGTAATAATCCTTGCATTTGATACAGCACCTTATCCACATCTTCAAGAAACTCAAAGTGCTTCACAGAATATACGGTAAAGTGTAGTGACTGTATATTTTGTGGGCAGAACGCTACAGCGCATCGCAATGTCCCACAAACAGTCGTGGATTGGCTGACAAAATTGTTATTATTATTTATTTATTTTTCGGAGGGATTATTATCCCCAGAAAAGCAATCCGCCAATTGTCTAACACCCAGGATTCTACTTACTCCTAGTTAAACAGAGGCGTGTGGAGTAAGGAAACTTGCTCAATATTTCGCCCTGCCGGGAATTGAATCCAGGTCCTCTCACTTGCGAGGCGAGTGCTCTAAACACTAAACTACAGGACGCCACTTAAGTTAATTTACTAACATCTTCCAGTTCCTTATGAACCACTAATGCGGTTGCACACATGCTTTCAGACAAAAAACTCCTCTATAATATTTTTTTCATCACATGCTGCATTCTTCACTCTCCCTCTCCAGTTTAACGGACCCATTGTATCATGTATCATGAATGGATTGTATAAATCTGAAATTCAGATACTTGATGCGATGAAAACACTCTATGTCCTAGGTCCAACCAACCTTCCCGCTCCCTCTGTTCAGCGGGCTCCAGTCTGCTCCATGTCTACCGCCCGACCCGCCCTACCATCGGTGGCCGGGCTTTCACCCTCTCTGCACCCACACTTTGGAACTCCATCCCACAGTCCCTTTGCCTCGCTTCCTCCCTCTTGCCTCCTTCAAAGCCAGTCTCAAGCCCTTCTCTTCGATCGTGCCTTTGATTGCCTTCCCTCCCCCCTACACCACCCCTCCCCCATGCTCGGGCCCCAACACCTGACTGTTCAGCGCTTTGGGACGTCCTCCCAACGTGAAAGGCGCTCTATAAATGTAATTTTGTTGTTGTTGCTGTTGTAAAGAAACTCTTGGTTTTATTTCAGGTGCTGAGATTTGTACCTGAACCAGGACAACCAGGGCAGCAACGTAGGAGGAACAAAAAAAAGAACATTAACATGGTGGACATCCAGTTGGCACATCATGAACGGTGTGACTGTATCTGCAGTTCCAGACCACCCCGATAAAGGAAGAAATGGAGCCTTTAAGGACCTTAAGATTTCTTAGCGGGACTGTGTCTGAGTACAGATGGTTGCTCTCAATGGAGCTAATATTTCCTAGAATTACAAAAAGCAAAGAATAACTGCTATGCTTGAACATAGTCTCCTTAAGTAGCATTGTGCCAGCCAAAATTCCATAGTATCACCTTGCTTATTGTAGACAGACCATTATAAGACTCAATTTGTAATGATGCAGCCAGCTTTGATGCAGGATAATCTTTTGCCTTTTTTCTAACGTTCAGAATATCATCTCAACCAGTTTGATGAGTTTGAGTCTCTTAATTTGTGTCAGTTTTAAGGGCGGCACAAATGTTTAAAGAGAAATTACTGAAGGATTGGAGAAGGGCATCAAAAAATGTAAAACAAAATACTCTTATTGCTGCAATCTGTTGATTTTTTTTTCTTTTGGAAGCTAAAACCTAACAAGATCACCATAAAAATTGCACAATTTACCAATGTTTTATTCCCCCCACCCCAAAATAAAATGGGAAGCGAGGCGTTTTAATCAAGCCACGGGGGTTAGAGAAGCAAATGTCCCCAATGTGACTCATTAATAGACATTTAGAGTGGCTAACAGAGAATCCTGCTGAGGATCAGAAGTCCATCATGGCCAACTCACCTCATCCCAACTCCAAGCACCGGTGCATTGGCCTGTGACGTACTGCTAGTTACTGAACAGATTCCATATCACTGACTCTGAGGAACTATTAGTGAATTGCATTAGGAACCAATGCTTGTTTTTCCCCTTCTCCCCCTCACCCCACCACCCCCACCCCCATATGTGTTTCTCAGGCAATGCTTTGTTTATGATTGGATTTCTGACGTCCAGTTTTATCCCCTGAAATGTAAATGATATTTAAATGCTTCTCTTTTTCTTCACTGCACGTCTGTTGAAAGGTATTGCGAGTTTCTGAATATTGTTTGTCCAAGAAACAAACTCTTTGGGTTTCTGTTGTTATCACATTATGCTTTTTCATTAAGTTTAATTTTATTGTGAATCCTTTTATGAATTGGGCTAACATTTTCTGTCCTCATTAACAAAGTTGTTCAGTATGATTATATCCATACACGGTTGCTTTTAAATTTTAATCTGAATACTAAAGTCCGTCACCTTACAGGTGGCACATACGCACAGAATTTCTGGTAAAGAACTATTGAGTTATTTCTTGCTCACAACTTGCCGTTGTCAGTATCGATCGCACCTTTGACTCACTGTGCTCTCTGGAGAATAATAGAAGCAAAGCTAAGTAGTAAATGATAATATATTGCAGTATCCTTGGTGAAGTATCCTTTGGAATAGCATATTTTAAAATCCTAGAGGATTCTAATAGGATTTTGGAATACATCCTATAGAATAAATCCTATTGAATTTTTACTGAATCTTTTAGGATCTCATATGCAGCAATTTCATAATCTTTTAGGATTAGTGGTTAAGGATTTTAGCTGAAATTTAAATTATGTAAATATAAACCAGTTGTCCGAGGGCATGGATTTTACGAGGAGAGACTTGTAAGGTACACCCACACCTTACAGGAGTGCTGTCAGCTTCTGAAAGCTACTGGGGGGGGCATTTAATTTAAAGCTATCTGTGTCTTATAAATTAATTAAGTAACATTCATTATCCCAAAAGCACTTTTAACCATTTCAGTTTCTTCAATTTCCTCCATCATGTTATTTTCAGGTAATAAAATAAGTAATAATCAAAAGGTGATTTTTTTAGGAAAATGTTAAGAATAATTTCAGTTTCTTACATGTAGCATAGTAAAATGCTGTGCTGTACTATCAGTTCACTTTCAGTAATACCGGGGCTAATTGCCCTTTGAACAACTCCACAGGGATACTGTGTTTTTGTTCTTGTGCAGTAAGCAAAGAATTTCCTAAAGTGCAATTCTTGTATTTTAACAGCAGCGTATTTCTAAAACAAATATATGGCTCAAAATGGCTTTTTTTGTGTATGTATTATATGCTTCCTATTTTGATGGAATGTAAAGATTGCTTCAGAAAGGGATTTGTAGAGGATTATTTTTTGTTATAAAATAAACTAAAATTGTCAACTTCATTCACTTCGTTATTTTCTATCCCATTCACAAAATACCCATGTTTAAAGGACACAATATTGAAAGCCAAGTACGGCCAAATAAAACTTTTAGATTTGACATGGGCCTTTGGAGTGTTTTTGCCTTCGAACAGGTTGCTCCTTCCTCTTCGTTCCGCCCAACGTGAAAGGTGCTCTATAAATGCAATTTGTTGTTGTTCATTCAAGTGCCAATGAGGACTGTCAAGTGCCTTGGGACGTCCTCTCTACATGAAAAACACTGTATAAATGTAAACTTCTTGTTGTTACTTTGTATTTGAGACTCAGAGGGTGACTTGGTAAAAGGGAGTTTCTCCCAGTGTCCTGGCCAACGATTCCCCAAATAAAAGCAGTCATTCGCTTCACCATTGTTTGTGGGTCATTGTTGTGTGCGAATAGGCTGCCATTTTAGCCTACAAAAATATGTAGTTACTACATTCTAGTAAATCCTAGGTATTCCTTTGAGGTCTTTCAACAACATGAAACCTTAGCAATATGAAATGCAAGGATGTTATTGTTATAATGGGCCAAAGAGCCTTCTTTATTCAAACAATCTTATGATTTAATTGCATGTCTTGTTTGCCTGCAAATTGTGCAGTCTGCTGTGAAATTCAATACCAAATTTGCTTAAAATAATCAACATCTTAAAGTCTGGTGAAGGCAATTTTGTGGCTGAAGTTTTGCTCTCTGACCTCTTGAGAGACTAATAAGTTTTTCTTCTTAGCCACAATGGACATTAAAGATCCCTGCCACTATTTGGAAGAGTGTATCATGGTTTCCTGGCCATCAGTCCTCAAAAAAAAATGGTTATTCACTTAATGTCTGTTCGTGGTGCTTTTAGCCGACTTTCCCCTTCTCCCGTGCATGCAAGAATTATTATTTTTATTAATAATAAATGCCCCAAAGACATTAAAATACAGGCCACAATTGCAAAACTGGAAGTCACTGTTAGCGTAGTGACATCCTGTTTCTGAATGTTAATAATAATAATAATAATAATCCTTGCAGTTGATACAGCGCTTTTCATGTCTTCGAGATGTCTCAAAGCGTTTCACAGAATATACTGTAAAGTGGATTGACTGTATATTTGTGGGCGAAACACGGCAGCCAATTGCGCACAGCAGTGTCCCACAAACAGTCGAGGATTGAAGTGACCAATTATTGTTTTTTTTCTTGAGGAATTATTATCAGGCGTGTGGAGTAAGGAAACTTGCCCAAGGTTTCGCCCTGCCGGGAATCGAACCCAGGTCTCTTGCTTGTGAGGCGAGTGCTCTAATCACTGAGCTACAGGACTCCACGATTTGCATTTCAACCGCAATGTTACACATTGTTCATCAAGAGTTGGAGGCTCAGGTATCTTTGACATATTGTGCCACTCACTGAGGGACCGCAGCTTGTTTTCCGTCCTCACAGCGGAGTTCCTGACTTTGGATTTGCTGAATGAAGGGAGAGCACATCAGAGGCGAGGTCACTCCAGGCTACAGAGGTTTCAAGACAGATCACCTGCTCAGACCATCAGTCAGGGAATAGTGTCAATCTAGAGAGGAGGTCAACAAACCCCAAACTACACGAGATTAGAAGGCATATTTTGCCCTCAAAGCAGTGGAATAGATTGAACAAAAGCAGTTAATACAGTGTTGATTAACTAATTCAAAAAGGTCTGGGTAAATATCTGTTTAGGAATGATAGAAAGGCATTAAAGATAGGTGCAGCTATCAACCAAAGCTGATCAAACAGGATTAGCAGCACAGTATTTCCTGAGCTGCTGGAACTCTGCAGATTTTAAATCAAAGAAGAGAACAGGTCAAATATATGCTTGATCTAAAATTAGATCTATTCTGCAAGCTTTACTCAAGTGAGATTTATGAAAACTTTCTCAGCTTGCCTTTAAATAATAATAATCCTTACATTTGGTATAGCGCCTTTCACATCAGGAGGACATCCCAAAGTGCTTCACAGGATACGCTGTAAAGCACAGTGACTATGTTTTGTGGGGATACAGCAATGTCCCACCAACAGCCATGATATGAATGACCAATTTTATTTGAGCAATTGTTGGGCCAGGATACAGGGAGGAACTCCCTTGTCTTTTCGAACAGTGCCATGCGATCTTTGATATCCACCTGAACAGGTAAACGGGCCTCGTCTAAGTAGTTGCTTTACAGCTGAGGTATCGGAGTTCTATTTTACAACTTTATGAATCTTCTTTTTAGTTAAATATATACATAATGAGTAGCTATGTCACCATAAATGTATGATGTTACAAGCCAATCTTTCATATTGAAAGCATAATTTACATACAAATTAGCCCTTAGAGGCAACGAACGACATTGGTTCCTTTTTTGTCCTTTTTTGCAAAGATTATTCCTATATGTGTAACCAATTATAGGGTCCTCTGCTTTATTTAAAGCTACCTTTTCTACCTCTAACACAATTCTATTGCTCATCATCTGCGCTAAGCTGTTTTACTAGCTTCAATACATTTCACATGACCAGAAGACAAACTCATGCTCTGTTTAGGGCATCCTGGGTACTGTGTACAGTTCTGGTCACTGTGATATAAAGGGGCTGTCCGGGCACAAAAGGCAGTGCTGAGGAGAGAAATTAGGCTGAATTCCATGTTAGAGGGACCAGCTATGAGGAACAATTACACAATCTTTGACTCTACAAATTTGAATTTTGATAGGCATCTCACAGAGGAATTTTGCAGGTACATAACAACAACAACAAAATGACATTTGTATTGTGCCTTTCACATCAGGAGGATGTTCCAAGGTGCTGGACAGACAGAGTTACGGACCCGAGCTGAGGGTCGGGTATAGGGGAGGGGAAGGGCAGGGGGTGAAGCAGGGAGATCGAAAGCACGGTCGGAGAGGAGGGTCTTGAGATGGGTCTTGAAGGTGACGAGGGAGGGGGCGAGGCAGAGGGACTGCGGGATGGAGTTCCAGAGGGTGGGTGTAGAGTGATGGAAGGCCCGCCTGCCAATAATGGGGCAAGCAAGGCAGGGACGTGAGGCAGGCCAAACCCCGCTGAGCGGAGTGAGCGGACAGGTGGTAGGGGGGTTAGGAGGTCGGAGAGGTAGGGGGAGCAAGACCGTGGAGGACTTTGAAGGTGAGGACCAGGATCTTGAATTGTATCCTCTGTGTGATGGGAAGCCAGTGGAGTTGGGTAAGGATGGGGGTGATAGGATCGCGGGAGAGAACACGGGCTGCAGAGTTCTGGATGATCTGTAGCCTGTGGAGGGAGGAGTTGGGGAGGCCGACAAGCAGTGAGTTTGCATAGTCGAGCCTCGATGTAATGCAAACGTGTATGAGTGTTTCGGTGGCTTGATGTGTGAGACATGTCGGAGCTGGGCGACGTTACGGAGGTGGGGGAAGGCAGAGCAGGTCATGGTACAGTTGTGGGGTAGAAAGGATAGTTGAGGGTCAAACAAGACCCCAAGGTTCTGGACTGGCCTAGCAAGGTGGAGTGTGCAACCATGGATGGTGATGCTGTCAGCGCCTGAGGTGAGGAGGTGCTGACAGCATCACCATCCATTGTGATCCGTTCAACTGAAGAAAGTTAGCTCTCATCCAGGACTTGATGTCTGGCAAACATTCTGTCAGGACAGCAGTGGAGTCAAGGGTGGAGGCAGAGAGATAGAGTTGGGTGTCATCCGCATACATGTGGAAGTTGACCCCATGTCTGTGGTTGATGTCACCAAGAGGGAGCATATAGATATTGAAGAGGAGGGGACCAAGGACAGAGCCCTGAGGAACATGGTGTAAGAGGTACGATCTGAACCAATCAAGGACAGCCTTGATAAGATACTGAATGAGGTTTAGAAGGTAAACACAGAACAATGGTTGCAGATATAATTTTAAAAATCCTTGCATTTGATGTAGTACCTTTCACATCAGGAGGATATCTCAAAGCGTTTCACAGGCTATGCTATGGGTGAATGAGTCAAACAATTTGTATATAACGTTGACCCATAGAAAGCCAGGGAGTGAATGTCCAATTTTATTTGGGGCATTGTTGGCAAGGACACCGGGAGAAATTCCCTTCCCTTTTCAAATAATGCTGTGCGATCTGAGGCGCTACCCTGATAAGGGGTACTATATAAACGCAAGTTGTTGTTGATCTTTAACGTCCACCAGAATAGGAAGACAGGGCCTTGGTTTCATGTCTCATGCAAATGACAGCTCCCCCAACACTGAACTAGAAGGTCAGCCAAGAATATATGAGTTTGAAATCCTGATGTGGGACCCCAACCTTCTGACTCAGAGCCTTGCGTGCTACCCACTGAGCCAGGCTAACACCTACTTTAAGGCAGTAGGACAAAAGGGCACTTTTGGGACAGACACAAAGCACTATTTTGTTTATACAGTGGGTCATCAACAGGTTATACTGGTTACCAGGAAATATAGTGAGGCTAAGACACTGGATTTATTTAATTAACAGCTTGATGCTTGTAATGATAACATGGTGGAATTGGAAGGATGAGATCAAATAGGCTGAAGATCTTCTCGTGTGACTTTTATTTCTGGCTATTAACTTCCCAGCCAGGCTTTACTGAATTCTAAGGCTTGACTCCCATCCAGCATTGAGACGTCACCGAGAATTAACATCACTGGTACATGAATTCCTATGAATTTCATAGGAATTTATGACAAAGAATGTGAGCAATATTTCCACAGAAGTTCTGTATCATTATACAACCATGTAACAGAAGGGAGCAAGTCAGCATGCACAACAAAAGACCAGTTTTATATTAATGCTAGGTGAGGATTGTGGAAAATGATGATTTGAATTCAGTACATTCTGGCATCAGGAGATGAATATGTAATTTGCCATATGTTCTCCCAACTCTCATCTGTCAAAATGTTTTATAAGTCGTTTGATCCCACGGCTTTGATTCCCTCCACTCCACAATCAGATTTATCTCTGATGAAGGCATAACGTTTAGATGTAAGATGCTTTGTTATTGTTACACATAAAATAGC